TGTAACTGGAATATATCTTCCTCTGTTTATCCACCATTCTCTTTTTGTCTGTCATATGACATTTTCTGGATTGCAAGCTTCTCGGGAATGGGTCTTCCTACCTACATTCTATAAAGTACCACAATCCATTGTTGGTAAAATAATAATTCAAAGTTCATAGATACGGTTCAGACAGATTAACACTGCTGTTATTTAACAGTCCAGTCAGAAAACAGAAGTTAATGTGAGAAAGGAAGAAGGAACTAAATAAATATCTAAAAGATTTTTCAAGACATGCTACCAAGCTATTTCCTGAGGGGCAAGGTCGCCTATTCGCTATACTGCAAGCAGTCTGATTTCATGACATACTCTACTTTTATCTTCCATCTTCCTGTACCCTTTCCCTGCTCTTTTTACCCATAGTCTCAAGGAGAAATCCTAAGCATATCTACTTGGAAATAACTCCTACAGTATTCAGTGGGGCTTACAGCAAGGAAGGTGTTCTTAGGATTGCAGCCTTAGTACTTCCACTGTGAGAGTCTTGTGGGATAAAAGTTTGGTGTAGTGGTTAAGTGTGCGGACTCTAATCTGGGAGAACCGGGTTTGATTCCCCTCTCCTCCACTTGCACCTGCTGATGTGACCTTGGGTCAGTCACAAGCTCTGGCACAGCTGTTCCTGAAAGAGCAGTTTGTGTCAGAGTTCTCTCAGCTCCACCCACCTCACAGGGTGTCGGTTGTGGGGAGGGGAAGAGAAAGGAGTTTGTATGTCCACCACAGGACATACAACAAAATTCAGCAACTGAACATTGTTATAGTGTTAGCTTTTTATAACATTCTGTCTGTCAGGTTTTCTAAATTAACAGCTTTAATTTTTTTTTAAAGTATCTAGTGATTTCATTGTGAACAGATACTTTCCCATTATATCTTCACAATGAAATTGACTAGAAACCTTTTAAAAATTGAAAAGTGGAAATTCAGACATCCTGATACATTGCTATAAAATACTCATTTCAGAGGGTAGCCATGCTGGTCTGCAGTAGAAGAACTAGATTCAAGTCCAGTAGAGACCAGCAAAATGTTTAGGATATAAACTTTTGAAAGTCAAGCCTTGTATCTGACGAAGGGAGCTTTGACTCTTGAAATCTTACATCCCGAAATCTTGTTGGTCTCTAAGGTGCTACTGCACTTGAACCTAGCTCTATATAATATTGTTAAATGTAACACTCTAACACTAGTCACTCACTAATTAAAAATAACAACAACTGAAAAGACCCTCTGTGTTGTAATGAGGAATGGTCACTGCTAGGGGACATGAGGAGCAATTCTAACCAGGTCTACTTAGAATCCTACTCAAGTCTATTCAGTGGGATTTACTCCCAGGAAAGTGTTCTTAGGGGCAGGGAAAATGCAGGGAATGCCCATTGCTGCTGTGCTATAGTGGCAGTAGGGAAACCACACAAGCCCATCCCCATGTGAAAAACACCTTTGTGGAAGAGTCTTTGGATTCAATTGTATATGTGTTTTCTATTCTTGTGCATCAAGATTGTTAGGAATCGGAGGAATTGCAGACTGGCTTTTATGACTGCATTTTGGATGAAGTTCCTAAGAAGGCCAGAATGAAATCAAATGATTATTCCATATTATTTTTAGATAGTATTAAGTAGCGAAAAACAGTAAAATAATTGATTAGAAATATATTTGTCGGTGAGGACTGATCTGGTATAACAAACACTCCTTTATGCCTTTAGAGGATCTGTTTATAAAATGGAATTTGTTGTTTCAGTTGTAAACAGAGTATGTGCAAATAATTTGCAAGGAAGAAAAGAAAATCTAATTTGAAGTCACTGTAAATATTGAGTCATTAATGTCATGCCCAAGAAGTCATTAAAATACCTAATAGATGGGGAAACTAATCCTTTTCAAGACAGGAGTAGAGTGCGAAAGACAAAAAAAATTAATTAAATCCAGGGGAACATAAAAGTTAAAAATGTGTCAGACATAAGCACAGGTGGGGAACAAATTCTGATGATTTTAAATTGGGATCAGTTGTTTGCAGTGGATAGCATGGATGTTATGGTTTTGTTCTGTCAGTCACAGTCACTTGATATCAGTCACTCAAGATCAAGGTGTGGACTGGAAATTGAAAATGGTCCTGGAACAAGTTAAACTGAGAAGCCTCTGCTGTGCTACAAGCTAGAACTGCAGGTCCACTTGGCTCTGTGGGACTGACAATGGACATTAGGTCACCTACTGTATCATCCCCCAAACTGGAAGCAGTGCAGGAGGAGACCATTGGTGATGAGGGGGGTTGGTCAAGTGGCCCCTGAGGCTTGGCAGAGTTGCTGGGGCTTGGTTCTGACTGCTGTTGGCCCTCTAGAACAGTGGCCCACCAGGACATTCCCCTGTAACCTAAATGGCTACTCCACCCCTGACTCATACTGATTGGCTGCTCCACAGTGAATCTCCCATCAACCCATCTGCTGCATTCAGGGGGTATATTGTGGCCTAGGGATGCCAGACCACTGGTGGGGGCGGGGGGGTCCCCTGCTCCCAGGTGCCACCTCTCTGCTGCTGATCAGCAGGCCGGCATGATGATTTACCCCCCCCCCCAAAGGGAGGAACACCAGACATTTCAGTGATGTTCCAACGTGACTTGAACATGACCCAGAAGTGACATGGGCATGTCTCAGACATCGGGGCAATGCTCTGGTTTTGGGGCAAAAGCTCTATGGCAAAAGCTAATTGTAACATAGAGGTTTTTTACAAAAAAACCCCAAAGCATCACCCCGATGTCCCAACATGCCTACGTCACTTCTGGGTCACATTGAAGTCACATGGGCACATGTGTGAAATGTGAGATAAATTCCTGGTAGCTCACCCCCCCCCCCTTACCAGCTGCCCAGAGGGACCTGGCAACCTATTGTGGCCACCTACTCTCAGGTGGAGTTCCTCCAGTCATACTGTTGTGTCTAGCCATTGAGAGCTGTTCCCCAAGTACTGCTATCTATACCTACCTGCAGACGTGAGACTGGTGACATTTAGAGACTGAGCTTTTTCAGTAATAGTCTTTGGCATGCTCTCCTCCTTGAGGCTTACCTGGCATCTACCGTACTTTCCTTTACACACCAGACCAAACATTTTCTTTTTACCCTAGCTTTTAACTATCTTTTTAAAGGGAGTTTTATGGTCCTTTTGTACCCCATGTTTTACAGATCTTGTTTTATGCTATTCACTGTATTTATACTGTTTTATGCCTCTGGCTATTTTTTTAATGCTGATAATTTATGTTGTTTTTGTAATATTATGGTATTGGGTTTTTTAAATTCATATGCCACTTGGAGCAAGTTCTGTAAATAAATAAATAGTGCTCCATTATTCCACACTACTCCATCTCAGTCATGAAGCATGCATGGCTTATAGCACACCAGTATTGTGATCATGTGCCTGTGAAGTCTGAGATGTCTTTCCCTTCACTAGTATAACTGTGCAGACTATGAGGGATGCCTTCAGCACCCTCCCTGTGTGAGTCTAGCATTGAAAAAGCTGTGCAAAAGGCTCCCTATTTGTACAATGTACCCTTTCTCTAGGGTTGCTGTCACCAAAGACTCCCCCTTGTACGTTCTAAAGTTGTCTAACATGGAGCCCCTTGCATTGAACTGATGTGGCCGTAGTTAGGTTCAAATATGTGACTAGCACCCAAAAATGTAAACCGCCCAGAGACCCCTACGGGGGTTAGGGCGGTATATCAAGTTGAAACAATAAATAAATAAATAAATAAATAAATAAATACAGGTGATATATTCCGGTTCAGGAATGGTTCCCAAATGGTTTCTGGTCTGACATTTCAGACAGAACCGTTTTAAAACCGGTTCCCTACCGGAATATATTTGTACTTTCACACACAAATGCTTCTGTCCCGTTCAGGAAACGGGGCTGAACCGTTTTACCTGTAAACCACTTCCAAGTAGTCTTCAGTTTCTTCTCCTGGATCCAGAACGGTTTTCCCCGCCATTTTTCGCCCGCACGGGCGATTTCCAGCTTTTTAAAAAAGTTCGCTTTAGAGCGCTATAGTGCTATAACACAACAGCAATACAGCGTTATAGCAACCCCATTGGAATGCCTGGAGTGTTGTGTTATAGCGCTATAGCGCTCTAAAGTGACCGTTAAAAAAAAAGCCGGAGATCGCCCGTGCAGGCGAAAAATGGCAGGAAAAAGCGGGAAAAAGCAGTGCAGTCTGAAATGGCAAACTGCTTCAGATCCAGCTGTTTACCGGTAGGGGAAAGCCATGTGTGAAATGTTAGCCCTATACTGGTTTACTCCACGATGGATCAAAAACAGCTTCAAACCGGCTTAAAAAGGGTAATGTGATATTCCTCATAATGTTCCCTTTGCCATATTGCAGCTATGAGTGTCCTGACATAGTGCTTAGAAGCCCCATGATAGACTGCAGGCTAAGCTGGTATCCGAAGCTATGCCATGGCTTGGAGACATGTTGGGAGGCTGAGAACGTGAAGGAGAAGAGTAGCTGTATTCTCTCTCTCTGTGACTTCTATGGGGATTTTTCCAGTTACATCAAATTTGTTATTGTTGTCATATTATGCCAATACAGGGGCTAGAAGCTGCCTGGAAAGGCTTAGGGTGTTGATTAAGCCACATTCTTCCCTTGATGTGTCCCTGACACCATTCAGTTCTACACTAATGCAGGTATTACACAGCTTGGTAGCAGCACAATACCACCATGCCTTGGCTCTGGTGTATTTCAGCCTAATGGTGGTGTAGCATCCTAAGCCAATCAGAGGGATAGTTTAGGATTTCCCCCTAAATGTGTTTCTACCCTTATGAGCTGTACAGAATTGTTTCCAGTTACTGTACTGAAAAAATTAGTCTGAAGTAAGGATGACAAGACTACTCTACAAGCCTTAAGGCAAAGGCAGCAGCAAATGGCAGAATCACGTTTTGAAGCATCTGGTTCTCTTCTATTCATTACACTATTGATTTTTTTCTGGTGTTTTTCCTTGCAGAGAGTGAATCTGTCCTTCGATTTTCCATTTTATGGTCATTTCCTACGTGAAATTACAGTGGCAACTGGGGGTAAGTGGGTTCCTATCCATACATTTTGCATAATCTGACAAGAGTGTCAGATGTTTAGTGTCATTTTAAAAACATTATGAGAGCAAACAAAGTATGGTAGAATTTGCATTATCCTACACTTCATTGTCAAGATTTTTAGTTCATCCAAAATTTACTCACTTTCTTCTATATCATAAAACTGGCATAAATCACATAATCCAAAATTATGTCATTTATTTTCCTATTGCTCTTTGTTTCTCAACTCTTGGATATATGCTGAGAAGGAAGGGAGAGAAAAGTAGTTGTAGTTGCTATCCATATAAAGAAATTATAGATTTCTCCTCTCTCCTCCCCAATACAAACTGCTAATTAAATAATTTACAAGCCTAGTAAATTACATGATTAATTAATTGGTAGTTACCTGTGTATGACTGATGTATTGATTAATAGTTGACATTTAATTTACCTCAGAAATGTCTGTGATGTATAGTGGTGGAGGTTCTGTTATTTCCCCACAGTTGCAGCCTTCATAAGCAACAAAGCTGCTTCCAGTTATTGAAATAAAAATTGCACCATCAGCTTTTGATATAAAAACTGGGATGCAGAACTGTAAGGAGACATAAGTGGGGTTCCAATGGTATGTTTACTCATTTTAGAATGAACATCTTCAGTGTAATTTAAGAGAATTTATCAGAGTTGGGTGCATAGCCATTGTATATATTTTGTCAGTGTTTTATTATTATTTTAATATGATCATCTTTGCAAAGGCATTGGGCATTTTCCATGTTAATGTAGATAAAAGCAAAGCATTCTTCATGTGGTCTAATAGGAAGCATGTGCAAAGTACTAATTGTGTGAAGGTGTTCACGGTTAGGGGCACTCCCACACTTACCAAGGCCAGCAGATGGGACGAGTAACTAGCTGCCACCCAGCAGGTCCAGTGACATGTTTCCGCCCCTGCTGCATCCCAAGGCCCAGAAGATGATCAGGGAAGTTCCCCTGTGAGGGATGAAGGCACACCCCCATCTCAAATCTTGTGGGGATGCTCCAGTGGAATTTCCGTGGGACTTCCTGGATTTGTGGGGCTCCATGTTGGACTTTAGAAGGAGAATCAGCTAAAGGCCAAGGAGAGAAGCATGAGAGAACCATGAGCTGAGCTCCACTCATTAAGTATCATAAGAACATAAGAGAAGCCAATGTTGGATCGGGCCAGTGGCCCATCCAGTCCAACACTCTGTCACACAGTGGCCAAAAATATCAGGTGCCATCAGGAGGTCCACCAGTAGGGCCAGGACACTAGAAGCCCTCCCACTGTTGCCCCCCCCCCCAAGCACCAAGAATACAGAGCATCACTTGCCCCAGCCTGAGAGTTCCTATCTAGTCCTTGTGGCTAATAGCCTCTGATGGACTTCTGCTCCATATTCTTATCTAATTCCCTCTTGAAGCCGTCCATGCTTGTAGCTGCCACCACCTCCTGTGGCAGTGAATTCCATGTGTTAATCACTCTTTGGGGGAAGAAGTACTTCCTTTTATCTGTTCCAACCTGACTGCTCAGCAATTTCATTGAGTGCCCACAAGTTCTTGTATAGTGAGAAAGAGAGAAAAGTACTTCTTTCTTTACCTGCTCTATCCCATGCATAATCTATCATTCCTCCCGTTTCAGCCCTCAGGCCCATCCATGCACCTACCCCATTTGTAAGGGTTGGAAAACATTTGAGAGTGGCCTAGAATGTAGGAAATGGTCTTTTACTTGAGCAAAAGTGTGGGGAAGGGTAAACCTACCTGTTTGTCTTTTATTTTAGACTAGGAATAAGGCTCGTTGTGGCGAAAAAATACGAGCTCTAGAAAGAGGGTTGGGTCAGTGATTTTATATCTTGCAGGCAGAGTAAACACAGAGTAGTGTTTTGCAGTATAAAGAACTAATGTGGGAGTAAACAACAGCATGCCTTATGGTTGTAGAGAGTAATTCTTGTCCATGGACCTGGACACATTTGACAGTTTCAGAGCATGGTGTCTGTGGCAGTGTACCTGTCTGAGGTCCTACCCCTCCTCAAACCCACCCTTTCCAGGCTCCAGCTATTCTAAAGAAGAGTGTTTTGAACACTGCTTAGAAAACATTCTTATAAAGCACCAAGTCCAATCCTTCAAAAAAAAAAAGTATTTTGTAATGTCCAAATAAAAGAGTGAACAGGAGCCACTAGCCCCAAATCTTTACCTGGTCACGAAATGTAAACAAGCTCCAGCCAAGTAGTTTCATTATAATAACCTCCAGGAAGTAACAAATAAAAGCTTTTCACTTTGTTGTGAGCTGAGAAGGGAACTTCTAAGGAGACATTGAATGGTAGGATCTCATTATACCAGCTGAGAGAGATTCATGGAAACCTCCTTAACTTTTTACAGTTAAGTAACCATAAGGAATGTTGGAATGGGTGGCAAAGACAAAGGCAGCTTTGGGAATTCCCTCTTTCCAACAGCAAAATGTGTAAAATCCTCTACATTCTGTATGTTGTGATGTTTCCATAGGAACACAGCTAAAAATTGATGAATGAGTTGTGGTACATACCTAGCAATGTCTTGCCCACCACATAAAGATTATAGCAAAATAAAAACAGTACAGTTATCAACATTCTGCAGATATTTTTTTTTCAAAATGCAGCATGCCGCCATTTCACACAAGTACTGATTCCGCAAAGGCAGTTTTTGCACCCTCGGTCTCCCGTTTCCCCTGGTTGTACCATCAATTTCCCACTGTTTGCTGTGCAGCCGCATTTTGACCTGCATCTCCCCCTGATTTCCCCCACGTCTTCTTGATCCTTGGGTCAAAATGCGACCATGCAGCAAATAGTGGGAAATTGAGGAGTACAGCCGAGGGGGGGGGGAACAGGAGGGTGCAACAACTGCCTTTGTGGAATTGGTCACTGTATAGATAACACTATATCATAGTTCCCACACAAATTCATATTCATTTCTCCAGCTAACAACCTGGGCTTGGCATATTCTGCACTAAAAATAATATCAAAAGCCTCTGCCAAGGTAACCCAAATTCTGTGCCAAAGAGGCCTGGATTTGGCAACTTGTATAAACCACTAGGGACAACATTTGTATAAGTACTGTTGATTTTATTGTTGTTCAACGGATCCCTTTCAGTGTTTTTTTACCCTCTTTCATTGACCATTGGTTTGAGATCACCATTTTGCCTTCCCATCTCTGATATGATATATATATTTCTACATGAAGATTTGGTAACTTTCCCTCCTGAATATCTGTAGAATTTTTTTTCTGGTGACAGTGTTTGGGAATATCAGTGATTGGCTAATCTCTTTCTCAGCTCAAGTACAAAAATGAAGAAAGCACAACATAGTTGTCAGCACCTCCACTATCCTGCAGTGTTAGCTCCCCTACTACCTCCTCTGTGCATTCTCTGTCCTGTGATTCCACCACCCATAAACCTCCCTTTCCCATATCTGAGGGGGGGGTGAGAAATAGGAAGTATTTCCATTTCCCTCCCCCACTGGTGTTCTTGTCTATTAGTGGAGGGATCAACTAGGAAGATTTTTTCAGCAATGGAAGAAATAGGTGGATACAGGGTAAGTTAAATGTTCCCATGACTAGAAAATTTTAAGACGACTTTTTGGTTGCAGGGATACTGAGTCTGAAATCGAAAAAGCACCCATTCTTTCCTTGTCTTGTACCTGGATCTTTTAAAACTCACTGTTCATTGAAATGGCTTGTTTTGTGGCTTGTTCAAAATACAGCTAGAAAGCTTTCTGTTGGATAACTCATTTTTTTTTCTAAAGGCATTTCTCAGCTGGGGTCTTGTTTGCTGAGATAGGAGTGCCACTTGTGTAGAAACAGCAGAGGTTACTGAACATTAAATTAAAATAATAGAGGAGGTAATATCAGGATAGCACACACGTTCTCTAATTAACGTGTGAGCTTGGCTGAGAAAATAACATGTCACACTGTGTGAAGTTCAGTTTTAAACAAACTCAAACCACAGGAGTAGCTTAATTAACTGGAAGCTCCTTTAAATGAAAACCTAATGAAAGCCACCTCAATGAGAGAGACAGAGCAAAAATGAGAGGGGGGGGAAAACATATTTTAGAAAGAGATATGTTTATTTTCCTTTCCTTTGTCCAATAAAAGCTCTGTGGCTCAATGCCTTGAGCAGTGTAACCATCTGAAATTTCATTTGTACTCTATTTATTTCCCCAAAGACAAAAGAAATAAAAAAATGTGACATCCAAAGTTATGTTAGGATTTTGATCAGAGAGTAGGAAGGGGACCAACCTGCTTGGATTAGAATAGTAGAAATTCACTAACTACCAATAGCCAATAATTTCTTGTCCATAATCCTAAATCATGATGATTTATCAGAGACCTCCTTCAATAAAGCCAGGTAGCCAATAACAGAAAAATGTAAGTTCAAAGTTGAATGAGTCATACAACTCACCCCCCTGTCCACAACGAATCTGAGCAGTAACTTCAGCATGCAAGTAGTATATTAATCATTGTAACCTTTTATCGATTGAGGTATCGCATAGCTACTCCCAAAATCTAGTCCAGGAGAGAGAATCAAAGGTCCCCTTAAGTCCATGAACCCTACATAGAGAATACCATCTGAAAAATGTGTGTATTTTTGTATCAAATGAGATAAAAGCAGACAGTGATCCAGGGTTGAACTACCTCACCTAAAACCAATCTGTTCCCACTCAATGAAATTGCTGAGCAGTCAGGTTATAAGTTAGAACAGATGAAAGGAAGTACTTCTTCACCCAAACAGTGATTAACACATGGAATTCACTGCCACAGGAGGTGGTGGTGGTGACTGGCATGAACAGCTTCCAGATGGAATTTGACAAACATATGGAGGCTGGAGCAGAGCAGTGGTCCATCAGTGGCTGGTGTTCAGGAGTTTTTTGTTTTTTTTAACTATAAGTAATCCAGTACTATTAAAAGAGGTGAGGGGGTTGCCCCCCCAGCACCAGAGCATCACTTGCCTCAGAGACCAAGAGTTCCTT